ATATTTATTTATAAATAACTTTATTAATTATATATTAAATTAAATATAACTTATATTAAATAGTAAATTAGTTAATTTCCTTTTTATTAATATATATAAATAAATAATAACTATTATATAAAATAAAGCCTAGTTATTATAAATATCTTAATTTTAATAAAGTAATAACTTCTAGCCTAAAGTACTATTTACTTAAATAGCTTTTAACGCTTATTATAACTATAAGTTAAGTTATATATTAATAAAAAATATATTATAGGAATTTTTATAAAATACACTTTCTTTTAGTACTAGGCTTATAGTTATTTAAGCTATAGAATATGTAGTATTTATCTTAAGGCACGGTAATGTAGTTTTAGTGGCGGGGTATAATGACCTGAAAGTGCTTTAGCATAAAAAAGTAATAATGCAAAAATCGGTCCTAATGGTGCACCGTAGCAGGGTCCCGACTAAACGGCCCCGCACGGCCTGATGTTTTCCCTTGACAAGAAGGATAGCCAAATCTGAAAAATACTTTACATGCATCTTTAGACATTATCCGTGAAATGTAGCTTTGATGAGCACCGTGCAACCATCACGGCGTGTGATGTTTGCGACGTCGCAATATTGATGAGTGAATATTTATATCTGGCCGCTTGCTGCCTTTTTTCTTAACGAGCTAGTTGAGATATTTGATCATGGTCCCTGTTCAGGCAGTGAGTCAATGACAATGCGCCAGGAGAGTGTGGCTAGCTGAGTTAAATGAGACCTGCCAACATGACCCCGACTCACGCAAGTCAGTCAAAAAGGGCCAAACTCGCGAGTCAACTCAAATGCCCACGTATGCCTTGCGCCCGTATATCATTTTCAATGGCGAAAAGCACCCTTCGCCAAGAGGCTGCAGGAGATGTGAAAGAATGTGGCGGCTTCTGGGACTACCACGATAGAATTCGCAGAACAGAACTTGTCAAGTTCCGGTGCGACATGGCTGCCATATCCATCAAGGATAAGAAGCCGATGTGTGCCATCTGTACGCTGCCGTGTGCTTGGTTCAAAAACTTCCTTCAGCCATTGCGGACCACGGTCGTCAGAAGTCCGACCTTTGTCACTCACACCGATATACCAACCATCGGGCAGCCCCAATTCATACCAACTTGCCTGGTGTAGCTTGCCTGCAAGGAGCACCATTGCGGGTAAAGCCCAACCTTCGCAATTGACGGGCTCAATTACAGTGACCTATTCCCGATTTTCTGAGAGTCGCTCGTCCATTGATAGGATCCTTTACACAAAAACAGCATCTTCCGTCGCTATTAGCTTCCGATTGCTCAATTACGCATCGCCACGGGATGGAACACCGTCAAGTCGATTAGCCACTGTCGAGCGAGAAGACGTCATATGTCGCCGCCGCTTCACGGTCACTCATCAAGTCTTGCTTACAAGCTATAACGGCAAGACGGACGCGGTCTTCGTAGGGGATTGATTTGCCTTGTCCAGTCATTATCGCGTGTACTGCATTCCGTCCCATCCCGAAGTAATCCGTATGGACCTCAAGTCGGGCCAGTAGGGAAATTTTGGTGACCAGCTCGGGGGTGTAGCCAGGTAGTTAGGGGGGGAATGAATGTAGATTACGTTAGGGCCCCCCCATCATGAGGTCAGGTTAGTCAGCCAGGCGGCCGCTGCTACTCTGACAGCCAACAAAGAGTAGGATTTGCACCGAGTACGTCATGTTCCTTTCAACTTTTTGCAAAGTGTCGTTGCCATTCTCCATAGACTGCTAGGGAGCGCAGACTGTAATGAACCCCGGCTAGCTCTGACGATTCACGGATCGCGCGGCATGAAACCCAACTAATGCCGTGATCTTGAGTTTTTTTTTTTGAAGGACTGAGTACTGGCGACTCGAGTGGTTTTTTACATAATTCTTCATAAGATTACATAACTTTGACTACCTGGTCAACCCCCTAGTCAGCCACAATCTGCCTCCGGTTAACGAAGTACCTTTCTTGACAGAGACGTCTCGCGTAGACAAAAAGAGCTCTTTCTCTACCTTTTTCTGAGTCCTCAGTACCTAAATTAAAAATGGTGACTCAGGGTCCTAGCTGTTATACTACCTGTACGGCTACTGTACTGGCTGTACTGGCCACTATACGGCTGCTGTACTGGCTGTACTGGCTGTCCTGGCTGTCCTGGCTGTCCTGGCTGTACTGGCCACTGTACGGCTTCTGTACTGGCTGTACGGCTGCTGTACTGGCTGTACAGACAGGGGATAGACTGGTTGACTGGTACTTTGTGCTGTGGCCCGCCCTGGCCCACCGTGGCCAGCCCTGTGGGTCTTCTTCCATGTATCCCGAGTCGCGAGTCTCAAAAAAACTCAAGATCACGGCATAATAAAGGGATTGAGGGGTTGAGGGGCAAGAGGGGTTTTGTGGTCTTGGGCCGCCATCTAGGAGCTATTACTGGCCCCTTCCCCGCCCCGGTACCTACCTAACTGCCATCCACCCTGAAGGCGTTCGTGTTGCAAAAAAGAACCAAAAAAAATAATAATGAACTACCTATTTCAGCGACATATAGATCCCTTGTTCTCAAGGTTCTACCCCAACAGCCACATTGATGTTTGCAACACTCCCGAGCACGCTATCAAGACAGTATTCACTCACCTTGCGCCTTTTCTTGTCAGCCATGGCGAGAACCGACGAGGCGAAAAGGGCTCTTAAAGAACCAGCCCAAAAGCTAGTATGTGTACGCTGCGATTTAATCTACATGTGCTAATAGAGTGAAGATAGCCGAGAAGCTGGATATGCAGCTTGAAGAGGACGAAGTAATAGCCAATAAAGACTTTTGATATTGACTGTCAGAAGATATTTGCGGGGTTGTCGTAGATTGCAATAGCGACGAAGGGCGTGTGCAGATCTCTAGTAAAAAACTGCCACTTATTTAGGTAATTAAGACTAGACTAGGATATAGTGGTTATATATTTAGGTAAATACTAAAAGGCTAGTTATATATACTATATGGCCAACCTACTATATTTGAAGTATTGGGAGACGACTTTATCCCAGGTAAGTTCGAAATCAAGTTGCAGCTAATACACGTGCCCGCACCCGTCGCTTCGCTTGCACTACGTGGGCGTGTCTCGAACTTCAGACATGAATCTAATTGTTCGCCAAACAATACGTAGTAGGTTCGGGCCGATTTTGGCTGCAACCGGGTTCCAAGCTAGCGTCATTGAAGCTGGCGCAGGTGGCCAGTAAAACTTGGTCAACTACGAAACGCGTTACAGGGCTTTTACAGGACGCCTGAGGTAGTCAAGGATTCGAATTGGCTATAAATTGTTAATCCTTTTCACTATTGCTTAGAACAATATAGCAAGGCTCTGTTGAATAACAATCGAGCGTTTGATCCTGTGGGCGTAGCATCCATGTTAACTACCACTACCTAGTCCATCGACCTGGGTGGGGCCCACTGACAGCTGCACCAGCGGGCCAGGTACCTGTTAACCTGATGGCCAGCTCCGTTGGCGCCAACAACTTGCAAACCACTGTCAAGCCGTTGAGAATGCCCGGCCAACAAGATCAGCTCAGGACGTGGTGGAAGGAGAGCTCCGTCTACCAAATCTACCCGGCGTCCTTTCAGGACTCGAATGGGGATGGAGTCGGCGATCTCAAAGGCATCATCTCGCGTGTAGACTACCTTGAGGGGCTCGGTATCGATATCGTCTGGCTGTCTCCCATTTTCAAGAGCCCGCAGATTGACATGGTATGTTCGTGAATCTGCGTGGGGTACGGCACATGGCTGATGAGTGCAGGGCTATGATGTCAGCGACTACCGTGCTATTCACCCGCCGTATGGTGACATTTCCGATGTCGATGCGCTCAAGGACAAACTCCATGAGCGGGGAATGAAGCTTGTTCTGGATCTGGTCATGAACCACACCAGCGACCAACACGAATGGTTCCAACAATCCCGCAAGTCCAAGGACAACCCCTACCGTGACTGGTACATCTGGCGCCCGCCGCGCTACGACGCCCAGGGCAACAGACAGCCGCCAAACAACTGGGATAGTCATTTTCAGGGTAATCATTCATCATTCACTCGAGTCGAAAAAAAAGAAGTCCATGCCTGCTCACAAAGCTACAGGAAGTGCTTGGGAGTACGATGACGCGACTGACGAATACTACCTGCGTCTCTTTGCCCGCGAGCAGCCCGACCTCAACTGGGAGAACCCCGACGTGCGCAAGGCGTGCTACGACATTACTCGCTTCTGGCTTGACCGCGGCGTCGATGGCTTCCGCATCGACGTCATCAACTTTATCAGCAAGGACCAGCGGTTTCCCGACTCGGACAAAAAGGTCCTCAAAGGCACCGAGTACTATGCGTGCGGCCCGCGCCTCCACGAGTATCTCCAGGAGCTGGGCGCGATTCTCAAAGAATACGATGCCTTTAGCGTGGGCGAGATGCCGTGCGTAGACGACGAAAAGGAGCTCCTCAATGCTGTTCGCGCCGACCGCGGCGAGCTGAGCATGATTTTCCATTTCGAATTGTAAGTAATTGACTCAACAAGTTCGTTTCTGCGAATCTTTTGATGCTGACTATGCTCGTAACAGCATGGATCTCGACCATGGTATCAATGGCAAATTTTCGCCCAAGGAACTCTCGATTGACGAGATGAAAAAGACGCTCGACAAATGGCAGCGCCTCATGTACGACAATGACGGTTGGAACGCTCTGTATCTGGAGAATCACGACCAGCCGCGCGCCATTAGCCGTTTCGCGAGCGACGCTCCTGAGCACCGCGTAGCCAGCGCCAAGTTGATTGCCATCTTCATGGCGTTTCAGGCCGGCACGCCATTCGTCTACCAGGGACAAGAGATTGGCATGACCAACGTACCAAAGGACTGGCCGATGGAAGAATACCAAGACATCGACTGCCTCAACCACTGGAAGTAGGCCAATCCCCCCTTTGCAGCCCGTTCATTCAAACGTATGGCGTAGATTGGCAGCTGACGTTGAAACGACCAGCCTCTACAAAGACTCGGCCGATGAGGCGACAAAGGCCGCGTTCAAGGTCGAATACCAAAAGAAGTCGCGCGACAATGCCCGCACGCCCATGCAGTGGGACGACACCCCCCACGGCGGCTTCAGCACCGCCAAGCCCTGGATGCGCGTCCACGACAACTACCCGCAGGTCAACGCCGCCGCGCAGGTCCGCGACCCGGCCTCGGTCTACAGCGGGTACCGCGAAGTGCTGCGCCAGCGCAAGGCCCGCAAGGATGTGTTTGTCTACGGTGATTTTACCCTCGTCGACAACGACGACGAGGCCCACGACAAGGTGCTCGCGTATAAGCGGACTGCGGCCAACGGCGACGCCGCGCTCGTCGTCTGCAACTTTTCCGCCGACGCGGTGACGTGGGAATTGGCGAGCACCACTAACGCCCCGCCGCGCGAGGTTATGGTCTCGCCGACGGGCAAGACGAAAGCAGACGTTGGCAGCAAGATCGATCTGGGTCCGTACGAGGCCATTGCGTTGCTGCTGTAAATCAATGGCTTATAGACTAGCAGTTAGCCCCAGAAGGAGTAATGCAAGAAGAAAGGCCTCGTCATCCATCATTATACTCACATTTGCTGATATATACACGTTGTATATATATATACCAAAATTCAGAATAAATCCCGCCGTAGCCCCGATGTCTGACCCTTGTGCTCCGCAATCTTGTCATCCATAAAGTCCACCAGCTCCGTCATGTCCGTCATCAGCGCAAACGCCTGCCTCTCCCTTTTGCTCAGCAGCGCGCTTCGATCCGGCCCGAGCCCCGGCCCGCACATTTCCTGCACGTGGTGCACGGCCAGCTTGAGCGGCAGCGGCGCGCGCGCCGCGCGGCACATGAAGCGCTCGACGGCCTCCCAGGGACAGGCGGCGTATCCCGCAAACAGCGCCGGGTTGGCGAGCAGGCCCCGCGCGGACATGAAGCCGGAGAGGTGCGTGTTGCTGGGGGCTGGAGGCGGGCTGGAGGCGGCGTCGTCTCGGATGGTGAGCGTGGCAAGGTCGTCGACATTGCGGGTGGTGGTGGCGCGGATGGGTAGTGAGTCGAGGTCAAAGATGTCGCCAGAGAGGAGAATGGGTAGGGTTTTGGCGTATTTTTCCGTGAGAATCTCGAGGGCCTCGGTGCGGATTGGCGTGGTGGATGGGGTGTGCCGCGTGCGAGGGTGAATGGTGAGCCAGTCAATGTTGCGGTGGTGAGGGTCCCCAATGACGGTGTCGATGAAGTCTATCGTTTTCCTTGCCACAACCAAAACTGTCAACTTTTCATTTTCGTTCTTCTTTTATACCCAGTTTTTTCTGAGATATATATATATATATATATATATCAAGAAGAAAAAAAAGGAAAAAAAAAAAAAGATTGAGCTTCTCACCTTAGATCATCATGTACTCGTATCTTGACGCTCACGCTTCGTCCCCTGTCACTCTCCACATCCTCGTCCTTGCCGCCCACCGCCCAGCCGTCGCGCGCCAGCCGGACCCTCGTCTCAACCACCATGTCGCGCACCAGCTCGCGGCGATTCATCAGCGCCGCGCCGAGCGTCTCGGCGCAGGCCCAGCTCTGCGGGCAGCCGCAGTTGAGGTCCACGCCGGCGACGGACGGCATGGCGAGGGACGAGGCGCGCGCGAGCTCCGTGGCCGAGTTGGCGCCAAACTGCAGAATCGTGACTGGCTGCGGGCCGTTTGTGCCGATGGTGAGGTCTAAGGGAGGTGAAAGGAACATGTCAGGTATTCTT